ACTTAACACAATTTGACTATTAATTAAACAGAGGATAGATAATAAGGCAGGAAATATAATGCCACTTTATAAACCCATGGTACTCTCATATCTTGAAAACTGAATGGAGTTCTTGTCATGCCATCTCAGAAAAAGACACATTAGAATTGCAAAATAAAAAAAAAAGAATTCAACAAATAATTTAAGGATATGAAACAGATTCCCTAAGAGGAGTAATTAAAAGAATTAGGACTGTTCATCCTGAAAAGGGACAACAAAGGAGGGCTATGATAGAGGTCTATAAAATCAGAAATGGTGTGGAGAAAGTGAATAAAGAAATATTATTTGCCCCATTCACATAAGAACCAGGGCTTTCCCAATGAAATTAATAGGCAACAGATTTAAAACTAACATATAGAAGTATTTCTTCACACAACCCACAGTCAACCTTATTTCTTGGGAAATTAAATCCAGGATAGTGGTGGGTGAGCTTCAAAAAAATGCCTGGCAACTTCCTATTTGGGTGATTTTTTTCCACCTTGCTTGTACTTCATACTACTAAAGAAAATGGTTTTTTGAAAGACGTTAACAATAGCATAATTTCAAGCAATGTTACTAGTCATAGAGACTATCATTTAGCAGTAGTAAAGCATGTCAGTGCCTAATTAATGCTCAGCATTGCACATAGATGTCAGGCCTGAGCTGCACATTTAGCAACTGAAAACTTGGTGTCATTGGTTAATTTATGTAGTGCTGTCTTACTCTCTTTTCTGGGTTACCAGCAGAGATGTTAAATAAAACATAACCAAACAATGATCCCACCAAAATACCACTAGACAGCTCCCTTCTGCTATTTATATTGCCAGTTCTATGGACAGTGAGCCATCCCTTTGTCCACATGGTACTGTTTTTCCTAGTCACATCAATTCAAATTAAATTTTCAAGTAAGATTTTGTGAAAATAGAATACCAAAATACTTAAATAAAGTCCAAATACGTTGTACTTCCTAGGTTTCCTTTCCCATTACATCCCAGATTCTGGGAGCTAATGGGGGCACCTGTCCCTTTGACTTCAATGTTGGTCTGAGTTGGTGAGAGTACCTCTGCATGGAATCAGACTGGAGACTGAGACTTCTTTACCTCCTAATTTGCCCCCCACAAAAAAGCAATCAAGTTTGTCTGGCATGATTGATTTATTCTGTATTTAGCATACCTCAATTCTGGAACATTAAGTTAGATTTGAAATTTTTTGCTTTAAAGTTAGACACTTAAATCCTTGTGCATGGGCCTAATTTTTTCAAAGAGGCTGCACATCCAGAAATCCCATGGATTTCAGTGGGATTTTTGAGTGCTCTTCACCTTTTCAAATGGGACCTGTTATTGAGATTTCTCCATATGGATTTAGATGGATTTAGGTGCCTACTTTCAGGTACCCAGGCTTGAAAATTTGACCTAAAAATCAAAAAGCTTAGTTGTTAACAAAATCGGGAAAGTGGTCTCTGAAAATATTTTCCCATAAAGTTTATATTTTATGTTTTGACATGCCATTTTAAAGCTCCTTTGTGACCTGAAAAATGAGTGAGGTCTAAAGTTAAAACGGAATAAAAGGAAACTTAAAGGCTGTAGCCAGAATAGATTTATGTATGTTTCCCTTTACAATCACAAGTTCAGTAGAATAAAGTGCCATTTTTAAAAAAGAATGTTTCACTTACGGGAATGGTTTCTCATTCCTGTCATGCCACACATGTTCTCTCCTTGCATGTGCCAGGCTACAAGACAGAGGAAAAAAAGGAGGGAAAAGCCATCAACCTGTTGACAGTCGAGGCTGCTCAAAACATAAGGGACCAGCCTGTCCTTGTGGAGAGGCGCATGCTGGCTGTTGCATCACGTTATATTGCTACGTGACTGCCTGGGCCAAAGGCTATACAGATTGAACCTCCCTCGGCACACTCTGTGTTCTCTGTGTTCTGTGCTGTGTGTTAGTTCTATTTTTCCCCTAAATATCTCCTAAGAACCCAATAAACAGTGGAAGCATTGGTAGTACTGGTAGACAATATTAACCACGCGGGTTTTGGCAAATTTTAGGCAGCACTCAGGTCCCATAGGGGAGCCGGACTAGAGAGGTTCAACCTCTACTGTGCTCAGGAAGGAGGATGGCTTATCTTTGGTTTGGTGTGTGCTCAGAAAGGAGGATGGCTTATCTTTGGTTTGGTGCATATATCTACTGTCAATAATGAGCACTCTGCTCTTGCTTAGGAAAGCAGCAAAATACACCCTGCAGTAAGGTTTGTGGGCAGTATTACAACAGTCAGGCCCTGAGAAGGCAAGATATCTTCTTCCCTGCATGCATCTGTCTACTTCTTAGTCTACGTCTATGCTACAGCTTATGTGGGCATAATTTGTGTTACTCGGGTGTTGAATAAATCCACCCCCCAATAAGTTACACCAACATAGCGACTGTAACTGGAGTAGTTAAACCAACCCATCAACTTAGAGAATTTAAAACTGTCTTGTGTAGTCAAGCCCATGCTGCCTTTGCCAGGATTTGGTTCAACAATAGAAACTTCATGTTGTTTTTAAGGTGCCTGTAACTAGACCCATGAAATGCACTATTTAAAAGGTTGACATTGAAAGGATATTTTTACTTGGTTTTTGTACAAAATTTGTAAGTTGAGTGCAAGGAAGCTGACAAAATTACCAGGCCCCTGGTCAAGGAGGGGGAAGGGGAGACAAGCTCTGCACTCCCAAAAGAGGAGGGCCTTGGGCAGAAGCCACAGGGCTGGAGCAGCCAGCCCTCAATACCATCCAGAGTGTGCAGTGCTTCTACCCCTGATCTCCTGCCAGTCCTCAGAGCATACTGCTCAGTGCTCCAGCAGCAATTTAAAGGGTGTGGGGCTCTGTCCAGCACCACCATTGTGGTAGCAGCTGAAGCAGTGGTTAGGAGCTTTGGGCCCTTTTGAACCACCAGGCCCCAGGGCAGCTGCCACCTTTGCTTCTCCTTCCTCCCTCCTAGTTGAGTGACCAAAGTTCCCATAAAATACATAACTTGTGTGAATCCTGTGCTGTGAATTTACATTTAATTTCCTCTTCAATGCCAAAGCCTTATTTCACTAAGAGGGTAGTGAAGCTCTGGAATGGGTTACCTAGGGAAGTAGTGGAATCTCTACCCCTAGAGGTTTTTAAGTCTCAGCTTGGCTGGGGTGATTTAGTTTGGATTGGTCCTGCTTTGGGCAGGGGGTTGGACTCCATGACCTCTTGAGGTCTCTTTCAACCCTATGAGTCTATGAAAGCCTTGCAGATTTCTGCCAATATCACTGTTATATTTTATTCCCTGGATTCTGTAATTTCCACTCCAGCTCATCTAATGAAGTGGGTTTTATCCAGGAAAGCTCATGACCTAATAAATTTGTTGGTCTCTAAGGGTGCGTCTACACAGCACCCTAAACTCAAAATAAGATATGCAGTTTGTGAAATACGATTGTATTTCGAATAGCTTATTTTGAAATTTGGCTCATGTACACAGCACCAAATTTTGAAATAACACGTATTTCAACAAAGCCCTTAGCCCTCATGGAACAAGGGTTACAGGGATGCCAGAGTAGCACACCTGTTATTTTGAAAAATATTTCAACATAACGGACGCATTTAAAAGACACGGGGTAGCTGTTTTGTACCTTAAGATGCCACAGGACTTCTCTTTGTTATGTTTTTCAGAAATCCAGTTTCCATGGCTCTTGATTATCGTCTTTGGAACATTTGGGCTAATAGTGGTGATGTTCTTAATTCTGTTTTCTAAACACCGAAGGTTTGTATGCTTCATCTGCAGTGGTCTGTGGAACAAAAAATGTTCTGAATTATGGAAGTGCATTTTTAAAAAATTGTCAGGTTTTAGAAATTTACACTGGAAAAAAGGAAGAAGGGAAATAATCTATTCCTTTGAGATTTTTCATCCTGAAGCTGAACTTTTTATTTGTCTCTGAACTGTGGAACTTGTCCCTGTACTGTTTATCCGTAAAATAACTGAATCTGTAGATCTTTATTTTAAAAGTAAGAGGGGTGATTTTACACAGTTTTCAGGATCAAGCAGATTCCATTTACTGGTGGCTAATGGAACTCATTGGTTATATTGAACATTGTATGAACTTCTGCAGGATAGCCTCACATACTGATTGACTTTCCAGACTGAAGTTATCATGTCTGTGCTACTAGTAACTAGAACTAGACAATGTGCAATAATTTATTTAGCTCCTTTTTTCCCAGTTGCAAATATTGCATTGATTTTTTTACATTTTTGTTGTTCAAATGTGTTTTAGAAAAATATTTTAGTCTATGGGCTTTTTGTAGACTAATCTCTCTAACTTTGTCCATTTCTTCATTACTCAATATGGGGGATTTGGACACCTAAATCACATGGTATTATTTCTCAAGTATGGTCAGATATTTGAAACCACTTTAAACAGATGAAGAAGTGGGCTGTGCCCACAAAAGCTCATGATACCATCTACATGTTTTGTTAGCCTATAAAGTGCTACCACTACCAGACCACTTGTTATTTTTTTTCTGTACAGACTAACTTGGCTACCCCCTGAAGCTTCAGATTATAACAGTAAAAGAAGTGGGGAGGAAAAATGGACCTGTCAGTAGTAGTGCCAGTGCTAATGAGGCTAATCAAGTGGCCTGGAAGTGTCCCACATGTAGCTTTTCATGTCAGTGATGCACATTAAATATATCAATGACATCAAAAGCTAAGTATGGGACACTTCCAGCCCACTAAGTTAGCCTCATTGGCACCAGCACTACTATTGACAGGTACATTTTTTCCCTCCTTCTTTTTCTGTTATAATCTGAAGCTTCGGGGTAGCCGAGTTAGTCTGTACAGAAAAAACAACAAATGGTCTGGTAGCACTTTATAGGCTAACAAAGGGTCATCAGAGGAAGTGGGTTTTGCCCACAAAAGCTGTATATATTTTTGTTAGTTTCTAAGTGCCATGGCACTACTCATTGTTTTTAAAGTTACAGACTAACACTGCTACCCCTCTGAAACAGAGAAAAAGAAAGTTCGTGGTAACCAAGGATAAAAAGAACATAAATACTGATTAAATTAATTCATGGCTCTTGTTTAAATGTATGTTCATGGATATCTTTTACAGATTTCACTCAGCTCAGTTGGTATCTGAGCACCCATTTAAGAAAAGGAGCAAGGGCATGATCAAGCATAACTTATTTAAAATATTTTTGTAAATCGCCCAACATACACACCACCCACAAGGGTCTTGTATATTCACATTTAAATATGTAGACTAAAGTGTTTTTCACATGCCAAGATGAGAAAAATTCAACGCCAGGCCCACAATATGGAACCACTAGTTCAAAAGGTCATTGAAGTTCTTAAACTAGTTCTCTGATACAATAGCCCTGATATTTTAATATCACTTAATGGTGCACAGAGTATGCTAGCCCTTTTCCCATTATGATTAGCTGCACGTTGCTTTTATGGAAATGTGTTACATTAGTGGATGTCTGAATTTACAAACACAATCATTTAAACATTTACTTTCATGACTCCAGGTTTTGTTTATCATGCCTGAAATACCTTCCCTCCCTTTCACTGCCTGACCCTTTCCATTCCTCTGTTTACTATTTACTGGAGTCCCTTGACCCTGAAGATGCTTAGCAAATGGTGCTTGGCATGTTGAGTAATTCATGCTGACTCACAAGTTGTTGGTTTTTTTTTTAATTATATAAGAAGGACCTTCCACGGGACTTTCCTGGAATTTATTCAAAAGCTGTCTTGTAGAGCATAGACTATTGAAGACTGTATCCAAAATGTGTGCGATCTGAACATACATTTATTTGACTTTAAGAAGCCAGATTTCAGAAAACCTGTTTCTTATTGGAAATCAGAGTAGAAAATAGCATTTTTTCTGTAACATTTTTAAATTGAGTCCATCACACTGAAGTCTTGGAATTAATTAGCATAAAGAGATGGAATGTCAAATCTTATTTCTCTGTGTGCTCAAAAAGTAACAGTTTAAATTATTTGGAATTAAGAGCTCCTTTTTTTTTCAAGGTTAAAAATGTTGATTCTACCTCCGGTTCCAGCTCCAAAGATTAAAGGGATTGATCCAGACCTCTTGAAGGTAATTTTATATTGTACAATATAATCCTGCAGAGTGGGCATCAGTTCAGTGGGGGAAAAACCTGCCCATGCAGTGGGATTTTGCAAGAAAAGAACCGATAGAAGTGTTTCATGGTGAGAGAGATACCCAAGTATGTAAGAGCCATTGCTAACATTGCCACGGTTACTTCTGCTTGAACTTACGTGTTACATTAAAAACTGTAGCCTTTCTTGGCTATTTTTACCACATTTCATTTTTGGTTTTGCTTTGCAGAAAGGAAAGCTAGATGAAGTGAACTCCATCTTAGCTAATCATGACAGCTACAAGCCACAGCTGTATAATGACAATTCCTGGGTTGAGTTTATCGAATTGGACATAGACGACCCCGATGAGAAGACAGAAGGCCTGGACACCGACAGGCTCCTGGGTGACAACCATTGTAAGTCTCACAACTGTCTTGGAGTGAAAGATGATGATTCTGGACGTGCCAGTTGTTGTGAACCAGATATTCCAGAGACTGACTTCAGTGCTAGTGATACATGTGATGGCACTTCAGATATTGATCAGTCCAAAAAGGCAAGTGAAAAAGAAGAGGATCTCTTGTGCCTTGATCAAAAAGATAATAATGAGTCACATGCTAGTCCTGATGACCCAACTGCCCAGAAGCCTAATACTAATATTCAGTCTGAAGATAACCAGTCAAAGCTGCCTTTTGCTGACAGTATCGAATCAACTAGGCCACCTGTCCATACGCAACTAAGCAACCAGAGTTCAGGAGCAAATACTGACTTTTATGCACAAGTAAGTAATGTTACCCCAGCAGGAAGTGTTGTACTTTCACCGGGGCAAACAAACAAGAGAAGGAGAACACAGTGTGAGGCCTACACAGAACCAGCTATACCATGTCAACCAAACTTCACCACAGACTATGCCTATTTTTGTGAGGCAGATGTGAAAAAATGTATTGCTGTGACATCTTGTGATGCAGTTGAGCCACATGCTCAGGAGCAGAGCTTTAATGAGGATGTTTACTTCACCACAGAGAGCCTTACCACCACTGCTGAGAATCCAGGTGCAGCAATAGTAGAAGCCTCAACTTCCGAGATGCCTGTCCCAGACTATACCTCCATTCACATAATACACTCTCCACAAGGCCTTGTGCTCAATGCTACTGCGCTACCTGTTCCAGACAAAGAATTTATGCTATCTTGTGGCTACGTGAGCACAGACCAACTGAACAAAATCCTGCCATAGCCTTTCTTTGATAATATGCGTACCGTATGTATTTAATGGCATAGAGTTGGCTTGGGCTTATATGCTTAAACCAAAATCAGTGTTTTAAAACCTTTTTTTGTGGTTTCTTAAGCTTTTACCTGAAAAGTTAAAATGCTAAATCAAAATATTCCCATTATATATTGTAAATATTATCTATGAATTGTCTCAAAAGACTGTTTAATGGCAGTGACTGTCTTGTTATTGTGGGTGTTGATTTTGTGATACTAAGCATTCAATGACTATGTTTAATATACAGTAAATCATGCTTTTTGAAAAAGCTAATGTCAGGTGGTTTTTGAAGTTTGAGAATTTAATGCAAATTTTCACATGCTGAGATCTTTATATCAGTAATGGGCAACTGAAAATACAAAATAGGTGGGAAAGTAAAAGTAGTTTGGATAAATACATTTATTTTGAATGATTATATACATTAATAAATATTTTAATATTCTAGACAACGGCATGGATATTTTATATTATACTACATACTGTAGTTTAAATATAATGATCCATCTAAGGAATGTATTTGCTGCAGTCAGATAAGAGTCTGTTCCTGCTTCGGTAATTGCAGAGAGCAAAGGAAAGAATTCGTTTTTTACAGAGCCATTTTTATACCTCCAAAGAAACCAGTAGAGAAATTTAAAAACTGTAGCAACTTACATTATCTGATGATATTCATTTCTTACAGTATGTATAGAAAAGTATTAATACATTTAGGTTTTTCAGAAAACTTCATAATGTACAAAACAAATGAATCCATTTTTCACCAGAGTCAGGTTAGTGTCATTAATACACATTTTATATAGCAGTAGAAACAATAGCAGGCTTTTTGTTTGCCAAGATCTTTAAAGATTTATAATTATGCTTTTACTGAATGATTCTCAGATACACCTGAATAAGCTCTGGTGACTTGGCAGCTTTATTTCTTCACATGGGACCAAATTCTGAAGTGCTCACTCATACCAATCTATTGTTGAAGTCACTCACAGCTTTGACTGAGTATTGACTAAAAGGTAAGTAAGGACTTCAGGATTTGGCCAACAGTTCATTTTTAAAGCTAAAACAGATTCAAATGAATTTAACAGAACAAAGGAGTTTGAGTAAGGGGTTGTCCAACAGGGTGTTTTCTTTTTCACAGCCTACCAGAGACAGAGAGGCTGCGTCTAAACTGGCATGATTTTGTGGAAATATTTTAACGGAAAAGTTATTTCTGCAAAAGAGTGTTTATATTGGCAAGTGCCTTTGCGCAAAAGATTTGCTTTTGCGCAAAAGCATCTGTGCCCAGTATAGACGCGCTTTTGCGCAAGAAAGCTCCGATGGCCATTTTAGCCATCGGGCTTTCTTGCGCAAAAAATTAAGGTGCCTGTCTACATTGGCCCTCTTGCGCAAGTATTCTTGCGCAAGAGGGCTTATCCCTGAGCGGGAGTGTCGAAGTATTTGCGCAAAAAGCGCTGAATTCTTACATTAGAACGTCAGTGCTCTTGTGCAAATTCAAGCGGCCAGTGTAGACAGCTGGCAAGTTTTTGCGCAAAATCTAGAGTCTCTTGCAGCAACATTAGGAAGACTTTCAGAAATCTATGAAAGAAAAAAACAAAATTCAGTGGGAAAGCTTTCTTCATTCTTATGGATTTGTTAAGAAAGTGATGCCATTATTTGCCTCAGAAATTGCCTTTATAGGAAACAGTTTCCATCTTGGCAGAAATATTTTTAGAGAGAAAGCATAACCAGGGATTTTAATTTCCCTTCTGAATAGCAATCTATGGGCCCAATCAGGCAGACCTTGCTTACATGAGGATGTTCACTTAATTTAGTGGGACTCAGCCTGTGTCTAAGTATGGCAGAACTGAACCCTACAGTTGGATGGGATTTAACTTTAACATGTACTTTATGGTCAATAAAAGCTTCAGAGGGGTAGCTGAGTTAGTCTGTAACAGGAAAAACTTAAACAACAACAAATAGTTTAGTAGCACCTTAAAGACTAGTAAATAAATCATGAGCTTTTGTGGGCAAAACCAGTTTTCCCAGGGATGGAGCAGGCCCTGGCATTAGAAAGGCAGGATAAGGGATGTCCTAAAGGCAGGGAAGTGGGATGGGTTCTGGAGTGGCCCTAGTGGATAAGGCATTCACCTGGGGAGCGCAGGGTGGGTTTTGCCCACGGAAGCTCATGATACCATCTACATGTTTTGTTAGTCTTTAAGGTGCTACTAGACTATTTGTTGTTTAAGTTTTTTTATGGTAAATGTTTATTAGATATTCTGCTAACAGCTATAGTATTTAGTTACATATGAAATGTAAGTGTAAGACACTAATGCAATTAACAGCTGTGTATGTGTTTGAAAAAAGTTTCTTACTATATGTCAATTGCCAAAAATAGAAGATACCTCAATCAATCTCAGAATGTCATTTTGGTACTTTAGTGGTTACACAAGTCATTATACACCAGTATGAAGATTTGTGCCTTTCAGATTCTATTTAACTTTCCTTATGTCTGTGTTGTTTTTTTCTTTCAAAGTTTAATAAATTTATTTTCTTTGATCCATCTTGACATGGAGTTCTTTATTATAGATGCATTAAATACCTTTTAGTGTATGTAAATTATACCAGCATATTCAGATTTTATCGGATACAAAGCCAGGATTATCCATCATATGAAATAAATTCAGCCACTGTTTCTTGGACTAGGACTAGGAGCATTGTATGCTAAGACCTATGTTTTCTCTGGGCCACATGTATACAGTTAAATGTGAGGGTAGAATTAATTGTACTGGGACCACTTTGTATGAACACTTAAAATTAAATATTTATTGGAGTAAGGACTTGAAGCTGGATCTCCTGTATCCCAGATAAGTGTGCTAATCCCTAGCCCATAGAATCAAATCTCTTTTTTAGCCCAAGAAATATATAGTTTTTTAATACAAAGTGGAATAACTTCAGCAGGGGAGATGGAGAGCTCTGCCCATAAAATCCCATTAGTCTGGTTGTCAGAGAACATTCCTGAAAGGTTTGAGTGTCTACTTCAAATCAGACGGCAGAGTATGCACACCACAGTCACCTGACAATTCATTACCTGCTTGCCTTCTGCTGTCTTATGTGTGAGACTTGCTCTGAGAACACCAACCAGATAGAGCCCTGGTGGAGTGTTAAGTGAGCCAATGGCTTGTCTGACAATCCTCTTGGGGCTTAGGTATGAGCAAGCTCTGACAAATGTATTAGCTCTGGGGCAGCTCAGGACTGAACTTTACAACTTTACACTTCCTTACACGGGGATTTTAGGTAAGGGTTAGATGGCAGCTGTACGGTAGTTTTCAGAATATCATTGGTGCCTAAATGTTGAACTTTGCCAACTAAAGAGGCAGTTGGGTGGATCTATCCTTTGTAGATCTATTCTGAGGACCCAGTGCTGCCACTGTATACATGAAGTAGTGTCTTTCCAGTCCCAAAGTAACACACATAACTAAATATAAGAATGCGAGAATCAATCCCTTTGGACACTGTTGTGAAACAGGATGGTCAACCCCCTAATGTTACTACATTTTCTTCCCTGAATTCTTCCTGCATGTAATCAGCACCTGAGATTTTACAATCAAATCACAGAGTGCAAATAGACATCAGAGACAAGTGTCAGTTTGGTGCAAAACAAAACAATGTCACTTCCACTTTGTCATGGACTTCTATTCATCATCACAAGGTTCTGTTCAATAGCTTCTTAAATTATCTCTCTAATGGGATAGAAAGTGCACGTATAGAATGAGTAGCAAGTTGGGAGAGATTGCAAGCACTTAGGAGAGGAGCACATGACCTACCAGGAGAGGCTGAGGGATTTGGGCTTTTTTAGTCTGCAGAAGAGAATAGTGAGGAGGGGATTTGATAGCAACCTTCAGCTATCTGAAGGGAGGTTCCAAAGAGGATGGAGAGAGGCTGCTCTCAGTAGTGACAGATGGCAGAACAAGGAGCAATGGTCTCAAGTGACAGTGGGAGATGTCTAGGCTGGATATCTGGAAAAGCTATTTCACTAGGAGGGTGGTGAAGCACTGGAATGGGTTACGTAGGGAGGTGGTGGAATCTCCATCCCTAGAGGTTTTTAAGTCTCAGCTTGACAAAGCCCTGGCTGGGATTTAGTTGGGGTTGGTCCTGCTTTGGATAGGGGGCTGGACTCGATGACCTCCTGGGGTCTCTCCCAGCCCTATGATACCCTGAACTTTTCTTCTTCCATTAAGTAGTCATTGTTCTAATCTTGGGAACAAATCTGCAGACTAATTGATCAGTATGCTCAGATGCCTCCTAGTAGAGGCTGAATACTGAAAGTACAATTTGATTCTCAAGGGGAGAAGGCTGGTACCTGCTGCTTCTGTTGATACCATTAGGAAATGGGCTTATCTTGAAATGGAGTGTGCTGTCTATCTCTTCTCTGCATTGGGGACTACAGGAGATGCCAGGTTTGAGAGAACTTTTGACAGAAGGCTGAAAGAAAACCATGTGGTATGAGCTCTACTGAGGTAAGAGCAATTTTAAAAAGTTTGTTTGAGAAAACTAATAGTTAAAAGCCTGTATTCCCCACTGTCTTGTCCCAAATAGTTTGTGTTATGCCATATGTGGCTGTCTTCATATAATGATTGATTCTGTGACCTCATAGAGTATAACCGTGTTGCAGTTAGACATCCGCAGTTGGCCTGTGCCAGCTGATTCACGAGGCTCACGAGGCTTGAGCTAATGAGTTTAACTGCAGTGTAGATGTTTGGGTTTAAACAGTATTTTCTGCTTTGGGACTCTCCCACCTGATAGGGTCCTAGAATCCACACTCCAGCATGAGGTAGAATATCTACTCCACAATTAAACACCTCTTATCTCAAGTTCCATGAGCCTGGCCCAGGCCTGCCACAGGTATCTAACTTCAGTGTAGCCATACCCATGCAGGCAAAGTGTAAAGCTCAATATTATCCCAGCACTCCTCCAATGTCAATATGAATATCAATAAACATCAGCAAAAGTGTAATCAGTTTCTTATGATAATAACAGCAACAAAGGAAAATGTAGGGAGGGGGTTAGAACTCATTGAAATCCTTTGTACAGAGATGATCAACTTAAAAAGTGACATTCCAAGCAGAAAGCATGCTACTGGAGATCATAGTCTCTTACGAACATAAGAATAACCGGACTGGGTCAGGCCAAAAGTCCAGCTAGCCCAGTATCCTGTCTACCGACAGTGGCCAATACCAGATGCCCTAGAGGGAATGAACAGAGCAGGTAATCATCAAGTGATCCCTCCCCTGTCACCAATTTCCAGCTTCTGACAAGCAGAGGCTAGGGACACAGTTCATACCCATCCTAGCTAATAACCATTGATGGACCTCTCCTCCAGGAATGTATCTAGTTCTTTTTTGACCATCTTAAAGACCTGGTCTTCACAATGTCCTCTGGCAATGGGTTCCACACATTGACTGTGTGTTGCATGAAGAAATACCTCCTTTTGTTCATTTTGCATATCTTAAGAACTACAGGTAAAATACATTCAAATTACTGTATTCTGTATTCATGTAAATTTATTGGCTTGTTTAAGGACCTACTGTGGAGGGGTGCACAATACTCTTAACTCCCATGAAAACCCCATTGATATCGCTGGGAAATGAGAATGCTTCCACCTTCCAGAGGCATTCAGTACCTCACATGATCAGTCCCTATACCTGAACATGTCAGATCCCTAAAGACTACTACTGCTACTGAGAGAACAAGTACTCTGAAAAAGTCATTCCAAAATAATCCACTAGCTGCTTCCCTGTCTCTAAACACATCAGACTGTATTCATAAGCCCTGACACTTAGGCTATGTCTACCTTTCATACCCAGTGGCAGCAGCATATACAGAAGAGCAATTCATAAGCTCAGACTGGGACTATGGGTCTGACCACACTACACAGCAGCAATGACTTTTGTCCTATTTCTTCTAAGTCATCAGCATAAAATGTCCTTCCTCTTTCTACTTCATTGCCATTCATCCCTACACCAAGCCTGATATCGCTTATATTATGTCTATACTGTGCACCAATGACATTGAAAAATAAGCTTCATCCACTCAGTGGTATGAACTTAAACATGACAGTGAAAGGCTCTGCCTGGTGGGAGGTAAGGGGGAAAGGCTTCAGTAGCTCCCTGGTGATAAGAGTCTTTCACTGTGAAAAATCTCAGGGGAGTTGCTGTATTAGTCTATAACTTTAAAAACAATGAGTGGCACCACAGGGTATGTCTTTTCACTATGATGACGTATGGCTTTGCTGGGGTGGGAGGCAGCAGTGGAAAGCTCCAGCAATAGGGAAGCAGGAGACCCTACGGCTATGTCTACACTGTTGGCTTTTGCCAACAGAGTATGCAAATGAAGTGTGAGAAGTTGCTAATGAGCGCTTCATTAGCATACTCTGCTGGCAAAAGCCGGCAGTGTAGACATAGCCTGCATTGCTAAAAACAGTGCAAGATACTTACCCACAAGCTTGTTTTCATTCACCTATGCAATGTATACCTGTGCTAGCGGGTATGTTCTTTACACACTACCAAGAGTCCAGTGGTGACAAGCCTTTTACCAGGGTAGCTAAAGGAATCTTAGAATAGCATTGCCTGTATTCATTGACAGCCAGCAAGATCCAGGCCCTCCAGCACTGAAACAATCTTTCTTTCTTACCTAAGCCCATTTCCAGTTATGCTACATCTGTCCTCTGGGCCTCCCCAGGCTAAGAACCAACAGCTCCATGCATTCCGGCTGCATGCAGCCAGAGCACTGCACCCACCCCACAGCCACGCTCAATCCCCTGATGCTCCTCCATCCCCACACACTGTGCTGTGCTTTCCTCCCACCGCTGACTTCCCCTGGCAGAGTGGGCAGCTCTGTGGGCAGGTGGCCACTTCCATTAGCTGGTTGGTGCAGGGGGGAAGAGGGGAGTGTAGAATCTCTCCTTCCTGTCCCCCCCAGGCCACTAGTGGTACAGTCCGGGTGGTGCTGAGGTGTTCTCCCGCCTGTGTGGGAAGGCAGGCACAAGAGCTGCTCCTCGGCCTGGCACGAGGGGGCAGGAAGCTGAGGGGGGCAGAGGGAGTCAGGTGAGCTGGGTCCCAGCTCCTTCCCGAGGGGCCGGTGCAGACACGGAGCACTCTCACTCTGTCCCGCAGTCACACACTGCAGCCCCAAGGGGCACCCAGAGCCTGCCCCCTGCCCAGCTGGCAGGCGATGGAGCCGTGGGTGTACTGGCCCTGCAGAGGTCAAAGGGAGCCTGCACTGGGAGGTGCTGGGCCGGCTGCCAACACTCCAGGGTGCCAGCCTTCTGGTGGTCTGGCTTTGGAGAGGTTTACTGATTGGGCCTTTGCTGGGGGGAGAGAGGGTTGACGTTTTCCACCCTGAAGGTTGTAGCTCTTTGGTGGCTGGAGTGGCGAGCCCCTGCATACATCCACCCAGATCCCAGAGTCCACGCCAGGCTCAGGCTAGGGGACAGAGCACCAGACTGGCTCTCAAAAGACTGGCACAGTCACTGGCCTGTAGGGTGATTTGGGCAGGTTACATTTCCTCCCGGTGCCTCAGCAAACTCATCAGTAAAATTGGGTGATGACACTGATTTTCTTCAGAAAGGGCTTTGTGAGCTACTGAGGAAAAGCACTGTGTGAGAGTGACAGATGATTATTACTGATGCTTAGCACAGGTGCTACAGCCACAACTAGTACTGAGAGTTCCAATGGAAACATGATTCAACAAAGAGCATTGTATCCAGGGACCTCTGCTCTCCACTGCGGGCAACTCTGTACAGAAAGTCTGGGTGGGTACCATAGGTCATGATGCAACATTGCATCCTGGAATACATAACCTCCACCACAGCTCTACTTAAATCTTCACATTTGGGTACACAATCAACTGTGAAGCCCTGCATAGCTGCTCATAGCACTGCGTGGCCCATAATCCCAAACAGAGGGCAAAGGGAGCAGTGTGTCTGCTACAAATGAATTCTGCAATATTTCAACTACTCCTAAAAGCTGCCATACTTCAGCTGTTCCTGCTCTGAGATTGTTTAAGTCTAAAAATACACACAGAAAGGGAGAAAGTACTTTAGAAATTTAAAACTTTCACAAAATAAACAATTATTTTAATTCAATGCAAATATATTTAATATTTTTAAAGCACAGTGTAATTAATTGTATAAATAGCCTTCATTTTTCTTTATGCCTGTTAGCAGTTATTTAAATTTTCTATTTCTTTTCCTATCAGGAAAAACAACAAATGTGCAGGAAGAGGACTGTGCATATTAAGGCCTTTATCCTGCAAAGTCTTAAACATGCTTAACTTTATGAAGTTAGCAGTCCCACTAAAGTCAGTAGAACTCCTATCAGACTGTAAAATTAAGCAGAAGTCTTTGCATGATCTGAACCTCGCCAGTACCATATTAAGAGTGATCACATTGAAAGGGAAGTACAGATTACTACTTCTGTTTGTAAAGCTGAAGCGCAGTCAGGATAAAGCTAAACTTCCCTTATGATACCATCCCAGAAGCTTTGGGATGGATGGGTTAAAATACCTTCAAGTACTCCCTGTCACTTTCTATGCCCTTTAAGTGTGGGAAGGTCTTCCCTTGCAAGATCAGGCAAATAGTGCCACATTGTAGCTGTGACTGGCTGTCTACACTGCAATTCCTGGTGGTATCCCTGAAAAGCTCTGGAACCGTTTCTGAAAAACCAGACACATTCTATGAGGAATAAGGGATGTTCCAAAAGAGGAGGGTTTTCCGAAATTTGGCCCTGTGTAGACAGGTCAAATTTTGGAAAAGTCTCTTCCAAAACAAAGAGCAGAAAAAGATACACAAATTGTAGTTCGCAATTTGCATATCTTTTTCCGATATAACGCTTCAGTCTAGATATAGCCACAGAGAAGGTGCCTATCCTCATACACTTACCCAAAACTTGTGATGTAAATATTAAATAAAAGACATAACAGGATTACAGAAATGGAAGATATGTACGCTCATAATGGAAGACTTAATATCAGTTTTCAAATATCCTGAGGGTTGTTAGAAAAAGAAATTGTTCTCCATGTCCAGTGAAGGGAGAATAAGTAATGATAGTTTAATCTGCAACAAGGGAAATTTAGGTTAGATATTAAGAAAAGCTTTCTAAATATAAGAATAGTTAAATAGTGGAACAGGTTTCCAAGGGAGGTTAAATTACTTATTAGGAAGAATAGTTATTCTGTAATGCTAACCTCATTTTGTACATAACTTTCTGAAAATGCAAGGTTTACTGGTCTGCACTCAAATCATGGTTTAAAAGAAAACATAAAAGTGAATTTACGTATGATTGTAAACTGAGTAGTTAAGTATGGCAACATATATATTATAAATGTAAAATAAGTAGCCAAATTTGTATTAATCTGTAATATCCCACTAATATCAGTAGCATTGTATAGGTTATAAAGCTCTACAATAAATACTGGTTGCTATTTTCCAGAAACAAATGAATCATACCAGTGAAGCAAATATGAAGAAAATCAATGTTGCAAATCTTGATAAACTTTTAGAAGACTTCTCACAGATAGAAAAGGTAGGTTACAAAAGTAAATTAAGCTGAATTTTTGTTGTTGTTGTTAATACTTTCAGAGACATCTTTTTACATTCTTTTTTTTTTTTTGAAATTTTCGTCTATATGGCATCTGCAGTTGTCATACTTACAAAATGTGCACCCTTGCAATATGCAACTTCGAAATCTGCTGCAAAGCTGGGCCTATTTGAGCCACACAATATCCTCTCCCAAAAGTTTCAGAGGAGGTAGCCATGTTGGTTTCTAACGGGAAAAACTTAAAAAACAGCAAATAGTCTTGCAGCATCTTAAAGACAAACAAAAAATGTAGATGGTATCATGAGCTTTTGTGGGCACAACCCACTTCTTCAGATGAATGGAGTTTAAGGGGTCCAGTTTTCAAATAAATAGCACAGTGAGAGGATGGGGAGAAGAGAAGGAAAAAGCAGGGGAGGAAGGGGGAAAGAAATTGTCCATTAGAGTGTCCATGCTAAATGAAGCTGATAAGAATACTTAGTACCTACTCTAAGTACCCATTGTTTGGTATTTTAGGTCATTAGGATGTGGAATGTAGCAGGCCATCCAGCCAAAGTCTTTGTTTAGACTTGTGTTGTAGGAATCAAACTTGTAAATGACTTTAAGTTCTGTAGCTTCCCTGTCGACCTGGCTTTTGAAATTGGTTTCTATAATATGGTGACTCTGAGATTCATTAATGAGTGCCCAAGCAAGTTATAATGTTCCCCAACAGGTTTCTGTGTGCTGCCTTTTCAGATATCTGATTTGTGTCTATCAATTCTTTCTTGTAGATACTGTCCAATTTGGCCAATATACATGGCAGAGGGTCATTACTGGCATTTGTTGGCATAGATATCATCATAGGACCGCACCACGTAAACCACCACATCAGAGGCTTGTACAGCTGCACATCCATTAATGTGATTTATGCCATCAAATGCCAGCAATGCCTCTCAGCCATGTGTATTGGCCACACTGATTCCTACAACAGAAGTCTAAACAAAGACATTGGCTAGATGGCTGTGACAGGTCGCGAGCGACCCGCACGTTAGTCGGCGGGGAGGGGCCGGAGGAAGCTGTCCGACTGTGAGTGGGCGCACTGGGAGTGGGCGGAGGCGGCAGGGCTT